TTTAATAAACTTAGTAACCTTAATATAGTGTATGAATTAAAATTCAGAAAATACTACACACACATAAACACAAACTCTCATATATCAAAAAACTCATACAAGATAACAGGAAAAGGTTCGACAATTCAATTATATCTCATTATCAATACAAATTAGAAGTTTAACAGGAAAAAATATTGTAAGTGTAGATTAAATTGTGTTTTTATTATCTGTACATTTCTGTTAGTTATAGTCTATTCTCTTTTTAAATGACTTTTTAGATTTTAAAACTTTAATTATTCAGTTTATATCTCTATCCCTTTAATACACATCCTAGAGAAAAAGGCAACAGCATGGAAACTGTACCTGACTAAGAGCCTGGAGATCTGGATTATAATTCCGTGTGTTTTAAAATGAAGTAGTAACAACAGCAGCAGCAATAGCAGCAGTTAACTACTTCACATAGTGTTTCATTTCACCCTCACGACTCTGTAAGTTCTATTATTTATTCCCATTTTACAGATGCAGGAAACTGAACTAAAAGATCTTTCTACAAGCTCAACTTGTTCCAAAATTATCTATTAATAATTCAATATGATCTGAGGAGAAACATCAGATACCCATTACAGTAATTTAAGACTTCATATTAACCAACATACATTACAGTACCTTTACAACCGTATTCACAAGGAGAAGCAGCAATTCATGACTTTCATGTAGAAACAAAGAAACAGCCAAATAACCTATAAAAATTGAGGGGAAAAGTCTCATTACTACCTACCAAAAATAAACCTTTCCCAAGAAGTTGAAGCAATTCTGGATATATTCTGAGTTTTAAGTGTCAAAAATACAAGTTACAGGTAAACATAAAAACAAATTGCAGGCCGGGCGTGGTGGCTCACGCCTGTAATCCTAGCACTCTGGGAGGCCAAGGCAGGCAGATCATTTGAGCTCAGGAGTTCAAAACCAGCCTGAGCAAGAGCGAGACCCCGTCTCTACCAAAAATAGAAAGAAATTAATTGGACAGCTCA